CTTAAACCTAGGACTTTCTGATTCTGAGGCTAACAACAACAATGATGATGACAACAGCTAGCATTGTATAACACTTTAGAGCTTGTGAAATGTTGTATGTTTATTTTTTCATTTGACCCTCACAACATCCTTGCAGAGTAGGTTCCACTATTATTCCTCTTATTGCAGAAGAAGAAACTGAGGCTGAAAGAGGTTAAGTGACCTGGGTAACATAGCTAGAGAGGGGTTGAAACAGGGTTGGAACTTGTCTTCTTGACTGTAAGACAAGTGTCTTTTTTTTTTAATCAAGTGCCATCTAGATGCTATTAACGCCAAGTTACTATATATTATACCACGTTGCCTCATACCACAGGTATCCTTATTACCATTTTTCAAATAAGGAAACTAAGGAGAGATGAAATAACTGACTTTAAGGTCACATAGTTAGTAAGTATCAGAGATAGGTTGAGTGTTTTTATTTCCCCCACTACAGATCACTATTAGTGATTCTTTGGTGAAACAGCAAGAAACCAATAAACTTTCTAGGGTGAGGTGGCATTCTTTGAGAAAGTTGGTTGTAATAGTTGAGTCTCTTTATGGGAAATTCTCAGTACCGGGATATAAAAGTATAACTTGTCCTGAAAGATTCTGTGCCCTTCTTTCAGAAGTATATTCCTCCAAGAAAACACTTTATCATGACTTCCCATTATTATTAGTTGAACTCATTAGGAGGCATAGTACCATCTCTGAAAGACTGCAGAAAAAAAATGAAGGGCATGAAATAGTTCTAAATGAAGGGAAAACAGTGCCTTCTTGGGGGAGGAGAGCTCTCCCATCAATTATTCTCTATTGAGAGTGCTTTTGGAGAGCCTTGAACAAAATTCAAGAGGTCTGATCCTTGGCCTTTTGGGGATAACATTCTTCATTGTTGAGATATCTTTTAAAGGCTTCAAGTAGCTGTGCTTTTTCTTTTTGATCTTTCATTTTATTTTATTTTTCAATGAACATTTATTTTCTTTCCTCTCTATCTCTCCCTGTACCAATTAAAAAAAAAAGAAATAAAACCCTGTAGTAAATATACATAGTCCTATGCTTATTTGTTACATGGGTTTTGTTTTTCTTTTCCTTTTCTTTCTTTTTTCCCCATTAGTTAAGAGAGGTGTAGAAAAAGAAAAAAAATGCTCGATAATAAAAAAAAAATTAAAATCCCCACATTTTTCAAGTCCAAAAATAGGTTTCATTATTCAAGCTGTACATTTTTAAAAGTTCACTTTTATTGATATATTTTGTTTTTATGTTATTTACATTCCTCAAGTATCTTTCCTCCTCCCCCTCCTGGAGAGATATACTTCAGAACAAAGGATAGGAAAAAGGAAAGGGAAGGTAGAGGGGGACAGTTCAGCAAAACTAACCAACATATTGAATTGTGATGTTAGAGCTACACATTTTTAAGGTAGAAAAGGTAGAAGGAAATAACCTGAAGCAAAATGGGAAAAATACAGAAAGGTAAAGGAAAGAGAGATGCTTAAGGGGACCAAGCTAGGAAGTACAAGGAAAAGAGAAGTGAGTTATTGGTGGAGAGAGAAACAGAGGACTTGAGTTTAAGGGGAAAAAAAGTTTCCATTTTTTAATCCCTTGATTCCCTCACCATAACCCAAAGCTTTACTTATTTACTGTCAGCAAGAATACATCATTCAAGAGTGCTTTGCTTTATTTCCTATATAGACGGTACCTTTGTTTTGATACATTTCTTTCTACTGGATTAAGATTTAATTTTCTAGACCAGAGTCTTCCTATTAGCACTTTCTCTACATCAGCATAGACAAACAATATCAGAAACTGGCCAGTCAACAAATAATGATACATACTCTGTGCTGGGCACTGAAGAACATAAGGCCTTCATGGAACTTGTACCCTGGCTGGGTACACCAGAGGTATACACACTGTAGTGCTATGTAGTACTACAAGCACTCTATACTCTTGAACCTTATTCTAACAACCATCCATCCGTCTCTGTCTCTGTCTCTTTCTGTCTGTCTGTCTGTCTGTCTGTCTCTCTCTCTCTCTCTCTCTCTCTCTGTATCTCTCTCTATGTCTCAGTTTACTATTACTTCCATTAGGTTGTTAGCTATCATCATTGTTCATGCTTTTTCCAGGATTCTTAAATCCTAGTCTACCTATAGGGAAGAACATTTGAGTTTTCTTCTTCACTTCCCTTCACTACTCTTTTCTTTCTTGTCCTGAATCATAGTATTCTGAAAGGACATGGAAGAGTCCTTTCCCTCTGGGAACTTGAAAGGAGGGCAGAGGTAGATAGGGCACTAGACTTGGAGCTGAGAAGATTTGGGTTCAAATTCCTCCTCAGGTATTCACTAGCAGAGCAAATTACTTAAACTCCCTAAGCTTCAGTTTCCTGATGTATATCAGGAAGGTGTTGGCACTAAATGGTTTCTAAGATCCCTCTCAACTATAAATTTATAATCCTATTAGCATCCCATGACCTCTTAAGTACTTTAAAGTGGATTTAGGATGAAACAATATAGGGCAATATATAATGTGGAAGGAGGATGAGGAGAAGGATTTACAGAATGAGATAGAGGTTAACACTGAAACAAGTTCCAAAGAGTCATAGGGTTTAATCTTTATCCTTCAGGCTTCAGGTTCCCCGTTTAGTTCTTCTTGAATGTTCCCCTGTCTATATCAGGCCTTAGCCATTATGTGAATGTTAATTCATTTTGCTTACCATATATGTGGCAAAGTAGGGCCATTATAAATCTGCTCTCTGGAGTTAACTTCTCTAACACCTAATTATGGGATATAGGAGTCTAGAGCTTAGGTAAACCCTATCTATCTACATTTGTCTCCATCCTTCTCCTCCTATCCCCAACATAGCTGTACACAGATGATTTGCTTTATGAGATATTTTGTCCATGAATAGGACCTTAGAAAGTGCCTTAGTTTAAGTTTCTAGGGAGAAAAGAGTCTTCCATAAGTGGGAAGCTACCACCTAGAGCAGGAACACTTGTCTTCCAAAATTGTAATCTGACCTTAGACACTTCTTAGCTATGTGACCCTGGGCAAGTCACTTAAGCCTGTTTGCCCTAGTTTCCTTATCTATAAAATGAGCTGGAGAAGAAAATGGCAAACTAATTCAATATCTTTGCCAAGAAAACACCAGATGGGTTCTTGAAAATTGGACACAACTGAAATGACGGAAGAACCACACCACCTTGTTTCTAATTGGAGTTTTGGCCTTGGTCCACTCACACTGCCAGTGTATGATTGAAGGGTTTCTATGTTTTGCCTTTTTTGGAAATTAGTCTCTTCCTTCATGTTGGTCTCCTTTATAACCCTGTACTAATCAGAATATTTGGACTGGCTTAGTTGTTGTTGGTAAAATAAGCCTTTCCATCAATGGCAGGTACCCCAAAAGTTGTATGTCTCAGATCCATAGTTGGGCTTCCTCCTTACATAATGTCTTAGAACCAGCTGGTTATCTAGTTCTGAATTTGTGATTCCAGTTAGGTTGATCCCTTGCTTCCCACTACTAGGTGATATAAACTGTCCAAAGCATCCAAAAGCCAATAGAAATTAGGTACCTTTTCTTACAAAACTCATTACCTCACCCAATTCAGTGGAAGAGGTAAATGGCAGCTCTTTGACCATAAGGACTGGGGAAGTTGCATATTTTTATACTTTAAAAACTGAAATGAAATGGACATTCATCAGGAGCAGCATATATTCTTGCCCTCACTCTCACTGGGCCACCATCAATAACTGTGAAGGCTCATTTCCCCAAACTCATAAAAAATATAAACACACCTAATGAAGGGAGGCAGTTGAATACTGAATGCTGAGTGGTACAGAGAAGGTAATTCAAGGCAGAGCTGCAGAGCAAGGCACATTGAGGGGGTGAAGAATAAGGTTACTATCATAGTAGTCACCCTGGATGAATTGTACCTGCTTCACCAGTTTGCCCTAAATCTTGACTCTGTTGTACTGTTTCCACATGCCCTTTGTTCAATAAATTCACAGACTTCCTTACTCTGCTTCCTTTGGTGACTGAAAACCATTTCAAAGCAATCTTTGAACATTGTTCATGGTTCTATGAGCTCTCAGATGTTATAAAAGAAAATCAGAGGTTTACCTGGTATATTATTAGAAATTGTATTTTAACTTTAAATACTCATTAGAGGTTTATGTATTATAGACAATTTTGGTGAAAAGACAAGTAATAACTTTAAGACTTGTTTTGCTTTCTGAGAATCCATGGTCCTAAAGTTGAAGAGGAGTGACATGCATGCTGTCTAAATTTTTATCATGATTTTTTTGGGCCTTCAAGACCCAGAAAAAAAAATTTTGATTTTCACCATATTTTTCTGCAAGGCATATGCTTGGATGATGGAAGCAACTTTTCAAAAGAGAACAGAATCAGTTCCTCTAGATAAGTATATATTTGCTGTGTGAAAACAAATTCCACACTGATTCATGCAATGGAGAGTTAAGCATACAATTAGCTGATTCCTCAGCACTAAGTCCTGAGGTTTTTGCAGGCATGACACTTTTTCAGTCACTTTAGTAAGCCTTTTAATGTCAATGTATTAAGTGCTTTAAAAATGAATTTATAAAATGAGAAAAAAATCATCTAGTTTGACCTATTGGTGTAGTTTTTGCTTGATTTTTTCTTGTTAAAAACCTTGTTATTTTTACATATGATATAATGGCTATTTTAAAATACTGTGAGATTTGTTTATGTATTGATCATGATCTTTAGCTTTTACAGAGTGGTATTTATAATTTTTGTAATTGATTTAATATAGAGATTAAACCACATACTTCATATTTAAAAGAAATGCAGTGACTACTTATTTCTGAAATGAAAACTGAAGTAATACTACCAATTCTCTTGAGCTTTATTGAATTTTTAATTGTGAAATATTATGAGTTGTCAATAAAAAGACATTTATGAAAACTGTATTGTACAATGTATACATATCTTTTCTCTTCTATTTATGAGGCAGATGGACGGCTCATAATTACAGTCAATTCTGGGGAATGACTTTAGAAGAAGGCTACAAATTTCGCCTTGGCACCTTGCCTCCTTCTCCTACACTTCTGCGCATGAATGAAGTAACAGTAGGTATTATATTTGTTTGCTTTTGAACATCTGGTTGGGGTGGTTGTGTTTTTGTGTTTTAGTAATGCCAAAGAACCAAATTTATGTTTTAAGCCCTCCCCAAGTTATTTATGATATTACTCAGTTATTTAACTTAGAGCTTGAGAATTCAGTGACACCAATCATGACCAAACCAATCAAATAACGTCTTGCATCTGAAGAGTAAGATTAATGGAGCAATACCCAATTAGAAAAATATCACCTCTTATTTCTTAGAAATATATATATATCGTTAGGTTTTTCTATGATCATTAATTCATTTTTATAAAGTTATCCTAATTAAATTTTAAGTAAATATATTTATTCTTGAAAATAATAATGATCAGAGTTATAACTAATAGTTTTTATGTCTGTAGAAGTGAAATTAGCTTTTGAGAATTAATTCACTTTGGGTGGAAAATAGAGCTTAGAATATGATCCCATGGTGTGGGAATAGAACCTCTGGAAAATGAAGAGGCTATTACTGGAAAGCTCATCCCCATGGGGAGTGAAAGACCAAGAAGACAACGATAAAGCTGATGTGATCATCAAGGGAAGAAGTCTATCTGGTAGTTTCCTAGTTTAAGAAATTAGTCTTACTAATTAGGTCCTAATTTCCCTGTTTATATGCTTTTGAAGGAATGCCAGTATTGTCAACATCCTCTAAATTTTAATGCCTTGGAAAAAATTTCCAATTGCTCCACCTTAGTTGCAGTTTTGGTAATAAATAAATAAATTTCTGCTTTGAAATTAATAGAATATATACCTCTGAGAGCAAGTGCTATTTCTATTTTGTCATTGTATTCCTAGAGCCTTGAAGAGTGCTTGGCACAGGGATGGTATTTACTAAATGCTTTTTGATTGGTTAATTGCTTGATAATGTTAATATGTCGTGCCTACAGTATTTTATAGCATATCAAATACTTTTCCAATGGATCTTTTGTGAGTTAAGGGATACAAATATTATTATATCTACTTCACAGATGAGGACACTGAGAATCAGAGAGGCAAAGTAACTTGTTGGAGGTAAAATATCTAGTATGTAACAGAGATGACATTTTGGCCCTGATGTATCTATTCCAAAGTCTAATACTCTCTCTAAAAAAGAAACAAATAAGCAAGTAACCAAAATAACCAAAAACTCTACTAATTGGTACACAGTTTATCAAAATCTCTTAGAATAACTGTTGATTACTGTACATATCCACACTGAGACCACTGTATAAGCCTCTTCTTTATCCAGATGTGCTATGCCAAGATTAGCAAAAGTAACAGTAAAATCAAAATCTAGTTAAAGTTTGTTGACCAATTCCAAAGAAACTGGCAGATCCCTTTTCCTTAGCATCTCTGGAAACTTTAAAGTTTTTTTTTTGTATTATTTTCAGAAGTACTAGAATTTAATGATGGATGCATTGCATAACTAAGCTTCTACTCAGAAAGGTAGAACAAATCCCTAACTCATATTACCAGGGTGTTGCCTTTCAAACAGTTATGTCTTGCAGCTGACTCAGTCTTCCAACTGAGATGTCAATTGTTTTCTTGAGACCATCAAGATACTGACTTAGTCACTACTTAAAATCAAGACCAGTCAGAAACCATGAGGGTAAGGGAAAGTGGTCTCTGGCTCTGTGTCAACTCCTATGAATGTGTTTGGGACCAGTAAGTGTGGATGGAAATACTATCTGGGAGACTGAAACATAAATTCACAGTTCTGAATTTTCACTGTGCATTGACTTGGCTCTCTAAAGACATAATGACCTAAGAGCTTGGTTCAATTCAAAGACAAGTTATAAGGTTTATTAGAGCAAAGCAGTGTAGTATAACAAACAACTGACCTCAGAAACAGAAAGACCTGGATTTAAGTTTTGCCTCTGACATATAATGGCTGTGTGTTCCTGGGTAAGTCACTTAATGTTTCAGTACTCTAGGCAACTCTAAGACTTTAAGTAGCAGAGAAGGTGCTGACCTGCATTGATAGAAGTTCCTTCACCTGAGACTATATCCGAGGTCACAAGTCCAGTCACTATTACTATTTCAGGTAGAAATGGGCCTGTGTACTCTCTCTGTCCACTCATATCTAAACTGTTTAGATGATCCATTCATTTGTTTCTTTTGGATTCCTCTCTATGGGATTGCTTTTATTGGGATTAGTATTTGTAATTTGGACAGCTGATCTCATCAATGTTTGGAAACTCTTGATGGGGAAGTCTCTTCTACAAATGTGAACTGGTGATTCATTTGTAATTTAGAATCTTAGAGAATTGTCTGGAAATACTGAAAAGTTAATTTATTTGTCTTTGGTCATGATGCTGTTTAGAAGTTCAGGCGTACTGGAACCTCAAAATCACAATACGCGGGCCCTGCCCAAAGGAATTTGACTCAAGCCTTTTTTTAGCCAAAGACAAGGTTTATTAGAACATCCATCATATTGGGCAGACACTTAAAGAGTCTGAACATTAGTGAGCTATTGGCTAGATTTTAGGTATCTGAGCAGTGGCTAGATTATAAGAATCTCAGCATCTTAATGGAGACAAGATTGGACCTTATATACAGAAAGACTGTGGGAGGGATCTTGGAGTGGCCAAGTAGTTTGGGGTGCCTCGAGGTGGGATCTAAGGAGATCTGGATGGGAGTGGCCAGTAAACTGGGGTGAACAGAACTCCTGGCACCTGGACAATGGAGCCTAGCTAGGATTAAGTGTGGGAAATGGCCTGGGGTCATAGGGAGGTAAGACAATGGAAGGGAGATTTGGTGTAGCCACAATGAAAGACCAGTTGATGGGATTAGAGCCTCAGGTGAACTCCAGAGATTTGGCCATATGGGAAAGTCCAGGGTTTTTCCTTTGTGGAGTCCAGATTCCAACCCCATCATTCACACAGGTAGTATTTGTCAGAGGCAGGTCTTGAATACAGATTTTCCTAGCTCCAAGGTCAGCTCTTTACACTATGTAACCTTACGTTGTAATGCATTAGAATTATCTTCCACTAATTTGGAAGATGACTGGGTTTTAGAACTCCAAATTCAACTTATGTTGTCTATCATATTGTAAGCTCCATTAGATTGTAAGCTGCTTAACGACAGAAAATATGTAATTTTCCATTTTTATATCCTTAGCACTTACCACAGTGTTTTGTGAACTTTTTTGGGGGGTGGAGAAAGAACTGTGATTTTGTTGTTATAGGTTGCTACAGGGAAACTCCAATGAGGAAGTTCCCTCTATGCATTATGTGCAATGTCTAAGTCTAAGAGAATTGCTTGGCGTCATTGGGATGCTACCACCTCTCCAGGGTCAAAGATAGAACCCTGGTCTTTTTGTCTCTGAGGCTGGCTCTATAATCACTATAGCATACTATCCCTCTCCCTGTGTGTGGTAGGTGCTTAATAAGTGTTTGCTGAATTGTTCATTCCTTTTTAATCTGTTTGAGAAGCATTTATTAGGTATCTATTACATGATATCATGTGGATGATTTAGAGTAATTGTTTCTAGCTCTAAAAAAATTAAGTAAGTTCCATTTATATGTTCTATTAAAGTATTAAATAGTTTTGCTGATTTTTGATGTACAAAATAAAAACTATTTACTAGTTTAAAAAAATGCATTATATGCATTAAAAAAACAAACAAGAAAAAAGTTAACAAGAGAAAGCAACAAAACCAAAAATAATTCTCTGTGGAATAGATAATAAGTAAGCTTTGTTGAATATTGCTGTATTTACATATCTTCTCTTTGGTGTGAATAGGTATAGTTTTCATGCTTAATGGGCTTTTCTCTCCAATGTTGAAATTTTAGCAACCTGAGTTCCTTCTCAGGAATACATAGCACCATTTAGAATTTGGTTTATCAGGGAATCTTGCAATTCATTTCCAAATTGCCTCTGACCATGATCCAGGGGACTAATATAATCATTCTATGTCCCCCTCAGGGCTTTGTCTGTAGGAAATTCACAACTGAGCTATTTAAATGTGAAACGTAATGACAGCTGCTTTATAAGAATTTAAATTATCTAGCAGCATGCATTCATATAAGGTAGTTCCTTTGTAGTCCAGAGAATAGAATAAGGAAAATTAAGGTGACCTGAGAGTGTTCTATCATCCATACTCAGAACAGTACAGGGAAGCTGCTTCTCATTCTGATGCATGGTAGTTAAGGTTGAGTGCCTTTTTGAAGAAGTTTCTAAGTGTTGGAATTTTCCTAATCTCTAGTGGTGTGGAAATGAATCAGGAATGGAAAAAAAAATCACTTCTAAGGAGAATATTACTTCATTGAAGTAGTATCTGCATAAATAGTTGAAAAAGTAGGTAAATTCCTATCCTGAATGATTTCACATTTGCAAAGTCATTTGGGAATAAAGTGAAAAGAACCAAATGGTTGGTGGATAAAACATCTTGAACACTGAATTTTTCATTTTGTGTCTCAATATTTTTGGCATCAATAATAATAGTTTGTGTTTATATAATGCTTTAAAATTCTTGAGGTATTATGTAAACCCCTCTCTTCCTTTTATAGTTGAATCAAATCAATAAGCATCTATTAAGCACTTACTAAGTACAAGAACTGTGCTAAATGTTGGGAATACAAATACAAGCAGAAAGAAAAGCAATCTTTAACCTCATGGAGTTTTCATTCTAATGGAGGAACATTACACTTGAAAAGAAGTGGAAAGGATGGGGAAGAAGAGAATGTATGGGATGTCTGGAGTAGAGTTGGAGAGGAATGTAGAGACAAGACTGGCCTGCTCCTTTCCCTAAAATGGGAATTCTGGGAATAACTAGTCAATTAGGAGGAAAGGGTTGTAGGGTGGAGTATACTTCAAGTATAAGTCAGGAATAGAAGGGATTGTTCAGAGTGAAGAGGCTTCCATAGCATGGCAGACACAGTCAAGAGAATCAGGAGTGGAGCATGGAGAAATCAGAGAGGGGAAGTCACTTAACTAGGATTATACAGATAACTGTCAGAATTAAAATTAAGCCCATTTTTCTCCT